GCTCGGCAGACAAGCCCCACCCCCACTCATCACTGGGAGCAGCGGCCCAGCCTCCTACCTGCTGGTCGTCTGGAAGCAGGAGTGCAGGCCGACCAGGAAGGGGTTGCTGGACGCCTGCTCGAACACGTGCTTCTCCGTCTGCACCCAGTCGATGTCCTGGAACAGAAGCCAGGGGTCAGGGGGCCCCTGGCCGCCCGCAGGCAGCCCGCTGGCTCTCCCCTCCGCTCGTGGGGATACAACACGGAGAGAGAGAAACACCATTTAGAGATGGGTCAGCACCATCACCATCTCCAGTCCCTTCAGCACCTTCCCCACCATCATCACTTCACCATCACCATCACCACCACCCATTACTATCACAGCCACCTCTACCACCACCACCACCATCACCACCACCATCACCATCACCATCACCATCATCACCACCATCACCATCATCACCACCTGCAGGGGGTGGGGCTTACTAAAAACAGTGATTTTGCCATGATCTTTGGATCATTTTCCTGAAACAGCTTAACCAGAAGCAGTTTCCCCGTCTGGGCAGCTGCGTCGTTAATTTTAATTTGCTGCGTCTGGCGGGCGTGGCTGACCGTGCAGGTGTGAGGTGTGGTTTCCCCGAGCACGATGTTTACGTGGCACTCACACCCCTGTGCCGGCAGGAGCCCCCTGGGGACGGGTGGTGACACCGGTGCCGGCCGTGAAGACGGGTGACCACCGGACAGGGGACCTCCCAGAAGCAGGTCACCCTCCTTGTGCCGTGAAGTTACCCACAGCTGGAGGCAGGCACCCCTGCTGTCCCTGTTCCCAGAGGAAGCTGGGCCGAGGGAGGGGACCCCGGGGCGAGGTGGCACGGGCGGGGGAGGAAGGGCGGGAAGTGGAGCCGGTGCCCGCCCCAGAGCGGCTGCTTGGACTGATGGTGTCTGCAGGGGACGTGGGCGCTGCCCGACGCACCCTCCCCGGCTGTTTCTAGGCATCTTCCCTGTGTGCAGCCCCTTCCCAACCCCAAGTCAGACCCGCGATGGACACCCGGTGCCATCGGTCTGGGGGGACCCGCCCCCCTCCCAGCAAACCCGCCCTCGTCCCTCCCACCTGGTGAGTCAGCAAAGCCGACAGGCGCTCACTTCGTTTCTGTACCAAGAACGTGACTGCGCCTTAGACACCCCGGCCTCCTGACACGGAACTGCCTCTGTGGGCGCAGCTTCTATTAAACCACACAGTCAGCCTGAGGATGACGCCCTGCCTGGCCGGGTCCCTCCCAGGACAGACGGCACCGACACAGCTCAGCCTCGGATGAGTCTCATCACAGCCCACGGGCCTGGTACCCGGGACACAGCCCAGAGCCCAGGGCGGCCGCCGTGGCTGCCAAGCGCTGTGAGGCCCGGCCTGGGGGAGCAGGGGGGTGGCCCGTCTTCCTAGGCCACAGAAACACCCGACGGAGGAGTCG